TTTACTATGTGATACAACATTTTTCAGGAATGTAAACTCCTGCTCTAGAACACTAAGATACTATATAAATTTGAATGACCTAAAATAAAAATACTAGCTACAAATATGTTGCATTGCAAACTTGACCACAAAAGGTGTCGTGGTGTCTTCCAAAAAGCCACGGAAGAAAACTTAGCAAATGGCATTATACTTTTCTTAAAAATGAAATTGTAGGGGCCGGCCTCATGGCTTAGCAGTTAAGTGCGTGTGCTCCGCTACTGGTGGCCCGGGTTTGGATTCCGGGCACGCGCCGATGCACCGTTGACGCACCGTTTGTCCGGCCATGCTGAGGCCGCGTCCCACATACAGCAACTAGAAGGATGTGCAACCATGACATACAACTATCTACTGGGGCTTTGGGGAGAAAAAAAAAGGAGGAGGATTGTCAACAGATGTTAGCTCAGGGCCGGTCTTCCTCAGCAAAAAGAGGAGGATTAGCATCTAGCTCAGGGCTGATCTTCCTCACACACAAAAAAATGAAATTGTATTAAATAGCATATACATACATCTAATACAGCTATAGTTGCTGAATTCGACTTTTTCCAAGACCCGCCAAGTTTTACCTTCCTAGTCTTCCAATCCTAGTCAACACATCTGAGCCCTGTAGGCTCTTCTCTGCTGACGTCTATTCACGTAATAAGCACCTGCCACATGCCAGATGCTGTGTTAGGCTTTGGGGAGGAAAAAAAAGACATCATCCTGCCCCTCAAGGAGCTCAAAATTGAAAGCTCTTAACACTTACGCTTGTGAGAGACAAGAGGACAAGAGGGTGGGTGGCAGCTCTCCGATGACACTGTGTTCTTGCCATTTGTGTAATGTGCTGGGCAAGAAAACAAACCAACTCAGTGTGAACAAAAAACACAAAAGAATCACAACTGTAGTTATCACAAGAGTGGCCCCATTCTAGCTATGAGCCAAATTAGTTTTACCAAATTTACTGTTCATTAGTCCCTGGCCCCTAATGGGTACTTAATAAATATGTGTTGAATAAATAAATGAAAGAAAGAAGGCAGAAATTCATCCCTAAGCCTTATGAGATCTCTAAGTATGATGAAACAACTGGGGCCAAGGCAACGTTTCCTGCCAAAATAAGCACAGAACTACAATTGTAGTCATTCTTCATAGACGCTGGCTATTGGAACAAAATGGTTACGCAACCATTATCCACGGTGACTATACCTGAGCCCTGCCCCGGACTTGCTCAATCTGAATCACATGATCAAAACCAGCAGTACTTACTCAAAGGCAACCTTTTTTACAGACTGTGAAACCAATGTATAAGTATCTTTTTCTTGGTGAAGATTCATCTGTGACTATAATCAGGTCTTACGCTTGAGAGGTGGGTAAGTGGCCTTCTCCAGCCTCTCATCTTCCCTTTACAGTACTTGAGGAAGCCAGGGAGCCTAAGGCAGGAGTTAGGAGGACAGGCTTCTGAGTGCGACAGACTTGGACTTGAATCCTAGTTCCACCAGCTACTCTGCGACCTTGGGCACAATCCTCAATACAGTCTAATCACCAGTGTAAAGGAGCTTAATAATACTACCTACATCACAGTTGTTATGAGGATTAAATGAGATAATTCTGGAAGAGTCCTCAACGCATTACCTGACACATGTCAAGTCACAACACATTCTAAGCCTTTGGTTTTTTTTAACATTCAACTTAATGGAGAAAAAAAGAAGTTACCAAATTAAAGAAGGAAGTTGACTGTTTAAACTCAAACTTCTGTCTTATAAAGAAATGGACCCTCATTAAAACCTGTTACACTAATTCTCTTTCCAAGAAGTTCCTATTGTGCAATCTGAGTAACCATGTGCCAACCCCAGCTCACTTTCCTATCAGACAAGTAGGAAATTTTCCTTTAGTACAAAGCATATGCATAGGGTCCCAAGACTAATTCTCTGATAACTGGAAGAAGAAACGAACAGGTCCTAAAATTGCAGGTTTACTACTAAAATAGTAGAAATTAAGTAATCAAACATATCCAAGTCAGAAAGTTTTGAGATTTTTTGACAAGGTAAAAAAGACAACCAGAATTAAAAGTCAGTTGACCTATTAAAGAAAAATGATAATCTATTCAAAACATTTGTCAAGTGCTCCCTGTAGACAAAATATGTGTTCATTTGTTGTGTTGACCAAGATGTTTTCAGGAATACAAAGATGAATAAGGCTTAAAAGGAGGTCCCTGCTCTCAAGTACAGCAGGTATACAATTATAATACAAAGTAGGTGATAAAAGCTATTAATAGAGATATAAGAAAGGTGCTATAGGAAGGGGGAGAAATTCTGACTAAGAGTTTGAGGAAGACTTATACTAAGAGATGGCAATTGAGCCACAATTAGAGGTAGAACAGAATTTCAAGAAGCAGATATGGGGAATAGGGGAGGAGGCATTTCCTTTGGATGAAAGAGCATGAATAAAGAAATCTTGTGTTCTTTATGGGAGAAAGCTAATATTATTAGCACAGAAAAAGGAAGAAGAAAGCTCAGAGAGGTTATTGGTCTTGTGAAAGTTGAATTAGATATGCAAATTTAGTGAATAATGGTCAGGAAATTATTTAAATACCTTTATAAGCTTCCTTATGACAGTTCTTATTCACTGTATTCTCTCCTGAGAAGGTAAGCAACTATTTTTTGAGTCATAGTTACAACGTGGCACAATATGCCTGGAATAACTCCTGGGAATCACCTTGTGATTGAAACACATATTCAGCAAATCTATTATCTGCATTTTGCAGGAAGTGGTTTAGCAATCTCTTTCGTTAGAACCAAAGGAAAAAATACCTTGCTAAACTATTCCCAAGTTTTTCTCTACTTCATACAGGATCTCTAAGTCTTTTTATCTACCTCTGAAGCATCCTTTCATAGTTGTTTCTCAAAGAGCGGAAAACTTTATTGATCAACTTTTATACATCATTCTATAAGCAGGATGCGAATCTTTTGAATTTGCACCTTAGCTTACTCATTGAGATCATGTCATACAGAGCCCAGGAAACAGAACCCAATTTTTGAAGGCTCATGTTGTTCATGTCACACACTGAACAACTAATTGTGATAATATGAAGATTTATTCCTTGCCCATCAATACAGAAAGATACCTCTTGGGCAACGGACTCTGAAGGACCAGGAACAACCTGTAGTAGATAAAGAAAATGGTCCCACAGGGACAGAAACTGTGAAGAGTTGAAAGGAAGACAAGCACAGTAAGGCTGGCTCCTAAAAAGGCAGCTGACAAAGTTATGAAATATTTTACCCACTTTCGTAGAGGGCAAAGGCTGCATAAACTTGACAACAATCACCATGTTTGGTTTGGCCCCCACAAAGCTTTATGAACTAGTTGCCAATATTCAAGAACAGGAAGATTTCACTGAAAACTCTAGACTACAAGTTTTTCTTAAAGAATTAAGATCTGGCAACACTGGGCTTGTGTTCCTGTTTGGCAGCTATAGGCTGTCCCCTTGGCTTGAAATTTGCTCTCTAGTCTGCCCCACTCCCTCTACCTGCCTGGCCCCTGCTGGCATTTGTGTGGCCAATTCTTGAATATGCCTTCAAAAATCAACCCACAGTTAACACGCGTCTTAAGGGTCTTTCTTAATTTTAAATACACAATGATGATTGTGTATTTTATGTATTAATCAAATCCAGTTAGGCAGACTTTCTTATGATTCAGGATTACTTTATAAACACTTATGAAAATAAGACAAAGCGAAATCTGCCCTGGGTGATCAAAAGATAAACAATGTAAGAGATAGGAGAACTATGTCTTGGCAGCTCAAACCAGAATAAGTCATTAAATAAGATTCAAACTAAAATTGGACTGAAAGCTTTCCATTTTAGACAAGAGAGATGAGTATCAAAATGAAGGCACAAACGCAGGTTTTAGTCAAGTGGTCAGCTAAACAGAACTTTGAAAAAATATATATACTGTACATATAATGTATACATACACACATACTAAATGCAGGAAAAATTATTTGAGGTAAAGCAGTGAAGACAGAGCTAAATAATCAATAAATATTTACATCAACTTGCCAGGTTAGTCAACTGTCCATTGAAAGCATGGGCTCTTAACCAACTACCATTTATTTTGAATTACTTTTAAATTATCTTACCGAACTCAGTACCAGATCACTGTAAGAGCAAGTTTCCTAATTGCACGAAACAAATTAATAAACAGTCACTTAAATAGCACTCCGTTATGGTAAAACTCTGCTGTCATACACGGTAAATAAAAAGAGAAACAGACTTTCCCTGTCACTTTACGCTGTGAAGCACGGAGAGGACAATCATCTGTTTGTAATGGGCAAAGCATCAGAACTGAAATTTGCGAGTCTTCAACATTAAATAAAGATTCTGGTAAAAACAGTGTAAAAAGCACTTTTGCCTAATGTGTTCTGCCACCTCCCCCCCTTACCCCCCCCCAGCATTCTACCTTCTGCAATTTCTGTGGGAGAGAATGACAACGCATCATTAGCTAATACTATATTCATTCTACTGCTCCAAAAGACGCTGTGTTAGGCTACCACGGCCGTGACACAGCTTTCCCCTCATCCAAGGACGTCCTGCGCCCCGCAGGCCAAATGCTCTTGGGGAAGACCGCAGCAGCGGTCAGTGTGGCCACCTGTCCCTGGCTGCAGGCGGGCCGCTCTGCACAGATGCTCGGCGAGTCCTAGCTCCCTGTGGGGGCGGAGTCCCCCCATTAGTAGGTGACCCGGCTCCACCACCAAGGCCGGGGATGCTCAGCTCGGCCGCCAGGGTCGTGAGAGGCCGAGGTACCCCAGGCCCGGGCGAAGCAGCTCCAGCGTGGCAGGTCCCGCTCCGGGGGCCTTGGCCTCCTTCCCTTGCCTGACGGCAGGGGCCCGGGGCCGGGGGAGGCGCGAGATGGGGACGCGATACCCAGCGCCGGCGTCCCCGCGCTCCCGCCTTGGCTCAGCTCCTCCTCAAATGTCATCCCGGGCTCACCAAAAAGCGCGTCGAGCTCGTGCCCTGGTCCACTGCCCCCACCAGCGGCCCCAAAACTGCTTTCTTCGTGGCTGCCATGAAACAAGCTTCGGGTCGGCGGGCGATCGCGGCCCGTTTCCCGGGTGACGGCGGCGGACGGGGGAGGGGCAGGCGGCGAGTCCGGAGGGCCAGGCGGTGCTCCCGGGCAGAACTCTCCACCGCGCTCCAGGCTGCGCCTTTACCGGCGCGAGCCTTCTCACCCCGCCCCTCTGGCATAGGCCCCGCCCCAACCGCGGTCCCCACGGCTCCGGGGGCGTGGCGGAGGTGGGGCGCTGTCTGCCTGGCCAACCAATTAGTTAACGCGGAAAGAGGCGGAACGTTCCGACGATCAGAGGGCGGTGAGACGTCACGGGGCGGGGCCTGGGCGCGGCGGAGGCGGCGTCCCGCGCGGCAGGTCACGTAGTGCCCGGCGTCCCGGCGGCTCAGCCAACTTGCTGCAGGGTCGGGGGCGGAGGCGGGTGCTACCCATTGGTAGGGAGCGCCGCTGGCCCGCGGTTGAGCCCCAGGGCACAACCCCACCCGCGCCCTGGGGCTCCCGGGTGCGGATGAGTCCCAAAGACGGAACTGCTTGTTCTTCTGATTGGTATGCGGAGCGCGGCGTGAGTCGCTTTTTGGACCCACCTCTCCTCGCCTTCCCGCGCTTCCCACGCCCCGCCCACTTCCCTGCTCCTCGCGCACTATAATGATAATCCTCTCTACAGGGACTGACCCCGTGTAGTGTCACCTCTAGGAGCTATGCGAATCCCTCACCTTTTTAGGCTTTTCAGGGACAAGGAACGCGGAAGTAATTTCGGTTTAGCATTTAAGGGAAGCTTTCAAAATCAACCTCCCCAGGTCCCTCATTTGACTATCCCGGCAGAAAGCACCCGGCACTTTCCTGTCCTGATGCGCCCTTGCTCCTTGACATCACTCTGGTTTCTCCTCCCTCATACGCCATTTCCTTTCCTTCCATTAACTGCTCTGGACTGCCAAGGGAGAGAAAAGGGGCTCTCTCGTTAGACCTTGACTTTATCTTGCCAGGATCCTTTTGGATCCCATGTTCCAGGGACTTTCAAACTTGGACCAAGACCCACTGTGAGAAATAGTTTACAAAACAACCGAGGCACGTGCGCACGTGTGCTTGTGCATTTATTTATAATTTACATATTATAGTTACATATATTATGTATAAAAACTTTATATATATTTACATATATTGAAAAATGTTTCCAAAACAGTATTTATCCTTCTATGCTGCGCATTCTGTATTTTTTTATTCTATTGCATATCATTTTTTTAAAATGCTGGTTGAAAAATCACTAAATTGATTTTGTAAACCACGATGCTCTCTATCAATTTCTAAAGCAACTCTTCTATTCCCACTCTTTCATTTCTTTCCACCCCTTTCCCCAATCTCTCAGTGTTGTGGAATATCATTTCTATTTTTTTCCCCTCTTGACTTACTCTACACCACCTTACTTGTCCATCTCTGTGTTTATAGTTTTACCACACTTGCTCTGGAAGCAAATTTTCTTATACTCTGTCTAGAAATCAGATTCTGGTGTTCCAGATGAGGCCTGCTTATGGAAATGCTGGACTTGTAACGGTTGATAAACTGGTTTGCTTTAGGATAGGAGTGCAGATAATCAGTATTTCTGAATTTCCCGGAAGAGGAGAAGACATGGACAGGCATACAGGCAAATGTAAAAGAACTAGGCTAATTTGCCTCTAAACACAGTGAAAGACATTAATTGAATGATATAGATAAGGATTTCCTTGACTCTAGCAGGCAGTAAAAGAAAGCCACCAAACCTACCATGTTGAACCATTAAAAAAAAAAATTGGGGGGAGGGGCCCGCTGGTGTAGTGGTTAACTTTGTGGCTCCGCTTTGGGGGGCCGGGGGTTCTGGGGGTTCACAGGTTCGAATCCCAGGTGCAGACTGATGCACTGCTCATCAAGCCATGTGTGGCGACATCCCATGTACAAAATAGAGGAAGATGGGCACAGATGTTAGCTCAGACCCAATCTTCCACACACACACACACACACACACACACACACACAATCCCTGACCATGTTTGGACTTGCACACATTTTTGACTCAGATACTAACAGGACAGCAAATTGTTTGTTTAGCAGTATAGTAGGATCAGAATGCAGACATTTCAGAATAAGTAAGGCTAGATGTATATGAGAGATTCTTAAATGTATTCATCCTGTGGTTCCCACAACAGTCTGCATTCCACATCCTCATTCCTTTCACCAAAACAAAATGGAAAGGCCAAGGTATTACTTGAGCTTTCAAGAGTCACACATATCGAAGCTCTCTCTTAGAGGTCTGGAAAGGCCCAAGGGAAGGGTTTTAAATGAAAGTCTAGCTCAGCCTATCTCAACTCCACACCCTAAATATTTACTCTGACTCTCATAGATCAATTTTCTCTTATCCTTTTGGAATTACTCCCATTTGCCTGCCCTTTGTCATCTCTTCAAGCCCAGCCGCAGTCTGCAAACTCAAATCTATATGAATGTGAAAATCAACCAACAGATATGCCGATTCCATTGTTCACACTATAATTGAGACAGAGTTGGAAATAACAATGGTATACCTGAGGCCTAGAGTGCATAAGGGACTTGTCTGAGACCCGCCAGCTTTCTGTGGTAGAACGAGAACTAGAATTTCCATCTCCTGACATCAAGCCTAGTGCCCTTTTACAGCAGCCTGAGGGAGTGGAAGCCAAGGAAAATTAGGAAGGAAAATGGATGAAAAGGAAGAAGGTAGGATACTGGTCCACCTTGATCTCCCCGCCGCTCATCCCAGATTTGAAGGCAAAGCAGTGGATGAAATACTGGACTGGAAAGCTAAGGACCTTGATCTGGTCTTGGCCCTGCCCTTCAACACTTTATCTCCCTCACTTGAGTAACTCATTTCCTTCCATGGCTTCCTTTTGCTCATTTGTAAAATAGGGGAAATGTCACTGATGTGGATGGGTTCATGTGAGACTTAAATGATGTAATACCTGTGAAAGCACTTTACAAGCAGCACAGTTCATGAAAGGCAAATGTAGTCTCACTGACAAGTCTGTTTCCACCCAAGAAACCCAGAGATAAAGACCACGGTCCTTCATGCGAATGATTTAAGTAGCTTGAATCATCTAAAGCTCACTGTGATGATTTCTGACTGGTAGAGCAAGAAATCAATGATAAATCTCCTTGGAGAGTCTCTGGGTATTTCACTCATTCCTCCTCTAGTTTTTCTTGTTCTTTAATTTACACAGAATTTATATAAGCAGAAAGGCTACATTTCCCTAGAGAATCTTTTTTTTTTCATCCAGTAACGCTTCTTGGTCTTTTCATATTTGCCTGACTTATTTGTTTCTAGTCTAGTCTATTTGGAAAACCAGCCTTTCCTTAATCTCTCATTGCTATTCTAATGATTAGCTGGATATGGATTGATATAGATATGAAAAGCATAAAATGGAAAGTTAGTGCTGGAAAGGATTACAATAAATAGCATGGGCACTTCTTTATTTTATAGGACTAGGATGATTTAGGCAGACAGACATAGTGATTTGCCTAAGGTAGCAGAAGGAGTTAAAGATAGGTTAAGAATTTAAATATACTTGATAAAAGTAGCCAAATTGGGAGCCTTCTCCTCTCTTCATGCAACCTAGAGAATCCACTCACATGTATGTTAGTAATCTAAGTGTAACTATCTAAAATTATGTATCACTTTATGCAATGTTGTGATTATAATAGAATTAGGATATAGCAATGATTCTTAAGCTTTACCTACATCAGGACCACCTAGAGGACTTGTTATAAAACCCAGGTTGCTGGGCCCCAACCCCAGAATTTCTGGTTTAGTAGATGAGGTCTGAGAATTTGCATTTCTAACAAGTTCGCAGGTGATGCTGATACTGCTGGTACAGGGACCACGCTCTAAGAACTGCTAAGCTATGGGTATGCTGGAATCTCTATTTTTCTAGGACTTAACAGAACTATGGCAAAACTGTGAGGGAAGAGAAATCTGTCTTATGACTTGTGTTAGTGCCCTTTTCTCCCAAATCTTAGTTCTCTGCTAACAATCAAGTAATCGTTAGAATATTGGTAGATAAAGGCTTAAGGCAGAGGTTCTCAAACATTAGTCTGTGTCAGAATCACCCAGTGCCCTTGTTAAGGATGCAGATTCCTGCCACCTTCTCCCTACCCCAACTCCTCAAATGCATGAGCTAGGCTCCTTGATGCCAGGGATTTTGTCCTGATCTTTATTATATCCCTAGGGGCCTAGGTGTTCTATAAGAGATTGCTGAATGAATGAATGGATCAATGTGATAAACTGTTACATAGGTGACTCCCAATGAATCATGCCTTCTGGTAATAATGTCCTTGTGTTGTACACTCCCACATTATTTTTTCCAATTGAAGTTTTTTTTTTTTTTTTTTTTGTGAGGAAGATCAGCCCTGAGCTAACATCCAATGCCAATCCTCCTCTTTTTGCCAAGGAAGATTGGCCCTGGGCTAACATCCATGCTCATCTTCCTCTACTTTATATGGGACGCCACCACAGCATGGCTTGACAAGTGGTGCATCGGTGCGTGCCTGGGATCTGATCCTGCGAACCCTTGGGCCGCTGAGATCTGATCCTGCGAACCCTCGGGCCGCTGAAGCGGAGCGCGAGCACTTAACTGCTGCGCCACTGGGCTGCCCCCCAATTAAAGTTTTATTGTAGGTTTTGCTGCTGGATATAAAATAAAGTCCTACAACTGTCACAAGTATGACAGGCTGTACATACAAAGTCTAAGCTATAAAAACCATTTCAAAATGTAAACTCATTTTTTTTTGGAATATAGTGTGTCAAAGGCTGCCCATATTAATACCTTTGGTATAAAATGGTAACATTTCCCTTGATAAGCACACAAAACCCATCCATTAACTTACACTTTTCTATCTCCTTGTAACTACTCTACCTAGTCTAGCCTCAACTACCCTTATTAGTCACAACCCACTTCATAGGCACAGAGGAGACTGGGCTTAGGCTATGTGACTTGTATGGCCAGTGGGACATTGGCAAACATGATGCAAGCAGAGATTTAATAAGTGCTTGTACAAAAGTGGGCCTTTCCCTCTTAGAACCCAGCGGCCACGCTGTAAGAAAGCCAACCTAACCTACTAGCCAATGAGAAGCCATGTGGAGGAGAACAATGGCACTCTAGTTGACCAACACCAAC